ATATTGTTGAATAAATTATTTCATATAATAGTTCCAAATCCAAATAATTGTTTTAATTTTATACATGTGTTACAACATACAAGTTGTTTTCCAAATACCGAAACTGGGGTTTTTTTTTTTTAGTTATATATTGTGCTTGCACATATGGTTCAAGAGATAGAATATGGGGATTAATTTGAATTAATTTGTCATCACACTTGAGTTTAAATTATGGATTAGGATAATTAAAACTTAAATATTATTATTATGAGATTGTCAATAATCTTCATTTCTTTGAGATCTAACCTCAATCATTCTAATCACAAATTATTATTTTAAACCCAGATTTCTTGAGATTGTACTTAGTCAAAATTAAACAGTAATGTAAAAAGTGCTTTTTTTAAAAGAAGCATTTTCATAGATTTTTCTAGAAAAATACTTTTTGAATCAGAAAAACACTTAAAGAAGATATAATCAGGATTTATTTCTTTTAAAAGTAATTTCATGTGGTTTGTGGAAAAGCACTTTCAAATACTCTTTAATAAAAAAAAAAAAAAAAGAACCATTCTCTCACCAATTGTACTGTTTCTGGGTATTTAAAAAATATATTTTATAGTGATTAATTAATTAAAAAAATACATATAATTTTCAAGTCAAAAGAGCATTTAATCTACTTTTTTTCTTTAATAAATACTTAAAAGTTTTGTGTACACAGGGCCTTGAAGTTTTAGCTGACTGACTAGGTGGTCTTTCCACCTTGACAACACAATGATCCTATAAGCACAAACAATAAGTGCTTATCTTAAGCCTTTTTTTTTTTCCTTTGTCAAAGGATAGGGATGCTCTAACTTCTAGCACTGTCTTACGTTTTTCCTATTCACTTCAAAACAAAAAAACATTACTCATTACTCTTGTCTCCAATTTCTTCATTACTTTAGCAATGATTTTGTTTCATTATTGCGGTGGATTCACGGCAATATTGTCACAATTTCTCTGATTTTTTAAGGGTTAATTCCATGCGTCTAAGATAAAATAAGTAAAAATCGTTTTAATATACGAGGTCCCGTCACAAAAATTAATGTTTTTTTTTTTTTTATATGTTTAAGGTTTCGTATTTGCAGGAGAATTTATTATTTTTTTTAGAGGTTTTTAGCTGAATAGGGAATACGAAATTTTTAGGGGATTTATGATATCCTTAGGTGTTTTGGTAATTAAGTGTACTTGATATTTTTTGATCGGGCAAATCAAAGATTTTAAAACTCTGTTTAGAATCAATTAATAGGGATTTGCCTTCAAAGATAAAAAAAAAGTAAAATCCAAAGGCAACTTAGAAAGGCTTTCGGCTTTAAATAGGTGCTAAATATTTCTTTTCTTCTAATTATAGTTCAAAGGCATAAAGCTGTCGTTCTTCTTGTAGCAAAGGCCCATGAGAAGAAGTCAGCAAACGAATCTCATCAATCAAGTTAGAAATATGCAAAAAAAAAAAAAAAAACTAGAAAGAGAATCCCTTTTGCCAATAGTTTTTTTTTTTTTTTTTTAGTCAAATAAAAAAAAAAAAAGTGCTTCTCTGTGTAAAATCACTTTCTTATCTCTTAGCATATATTCCGAAACCACGTCAATTTTATCACTGTTTTTTGAAGTGGTTATGCATCACTTGACACCAAAATTATTTCTCATTCTGCCAATCTGATTGCATTTCTAATCAGAATCAAATCTATTTGTCCATTTTTCTTTACTTGTTTTTGTATCAAGAGAAGATGCATCTTCTATGGACTTAATACAGTGAACACCCATGAGTGACCGGTGAGGTGGATAGAGATTCTTGGTATATTACTCAAAAATCTTAAGTTAAGGATTTATCGGGCGTTAACTTCAAACCCTGAAAATTAGTCAGGTGTTGGCAAAATGGCCCGAACACCCCACCCGGTCAAAAAAAAAAAAAAAAAAAACTATAGTGTCCATATTGAACTAAAATTGACCACTATTATCAAATAATCAGTCATTTTCCATTACTAAAGCTTACCTGCTAGCATAGAAATGGGCCAATCTCTTCTAGTTGACCTAAAACTGTATAATTAATTATTGCAATTGGAAATTGTTTCTGTCTTATCAAAAATCATTAAAATTTCAGTAAACAGATACCCCATTTTGGTTTATATGATATTGGGAGTGATACGTTCACTCCACTTTGTTGTTCTTGTTTGCCACTTTGCCTTTGGCATATCTTTGAGCCTTAAATAGTTAATTTAGTTCGGTTGCTGAAGGTTAAGGGATTGCTGTTTTTTCTTGGGATAACAACATTTTCCACCCAAGGTTTGGCAAAACAACCTTTATACCCTTAAGTTTTAAAATGACACTTTCCCACTTCTTAGGTTCTATTATGTCTTCATTAATATTTTACTAAAAGGGAGAACGACTTACATGTACCCAAGGTTTGTCGTAACGATAAGTGGTACCCAAAAGGTTTGAAACAACAAATAGGTACCTTCCGTCATGTTCTATTAGTGGTTTCTATTTATTACTGTTATTAATAGTAAAAAGACTAAAATGCCCTTAAAGGTTTGAATTTTAGTTTTTATAAATTTCTAAAAAACCCCCTAAGTTTACAAATTTAACTAAATACCCAATGTATAAAAATTTTGTAAAATAACAAAAACACCCCGCCACCTGCAGTGCAGATTCCAGCCACCACCGCCGGATCTGGCCGGAAGTTGCGTTACGACACAGACCCGTCGGATCTGTGTCGTGACGTCGATCTGGCTTTCGGCCAGATCCGTGGCTGATCTGGCCGGAAAAGGCCAGATCTACGGCTAGATCTGGCCGTCGACGCCGCAAAACTCCATCTGCGCGTCGACGGCAGATCTGGCAGTAGATCTGGCCCTTTTCGGCCAGATCTGGCTGTTGCTTCGACGGCCAGATCTTGCCTTTTCCGGTCAGATCCGTGGCGGATCTGACCGGAAAAGGTCAGATCGGCACGTTACGACACAGACCCGACGGGTCTGTGTCGTAATGTATTTTTCGGTCAGATTCCGGCGATGGTGGCCGGAATCTGGCACTGGGGGTGTTTTTGTTATTTAACAAACTTTTTATATATGGGGGTGTTTAATTAAATTAGAAAACTTAGGGGTTTTTTAGAAATTTTTAAATTTATAAAAAACTAAAATTGAAACTTTGAAGGGCATTTTAGTCTTTTCACTATTAATAAACAGAAATCAATAACAGAATATGACGGAAGGTACCTATTTGTCGTTTCAAAACCTTTTGGGTGTCAATTTGTCGTTACGGTAAATCTTGGGTATGCACAAGTCGTTCGGCGACGAAAATACTCTTAAATATTTGACTTTATAAATTTTTTATTATTTTTTAATTAACTAAAAAGTCAAATATTGAAAAGTAAAAAAAGATAAAATAGTTAATCCTACCTAAAAAGTTAGGAATAATGTTATGGAATTGTTTAAAGTTAAATGACCTTCATATTTATTTATTTATAATGTCATTAATATCCCATCACTATTATTCAATAATCTACTAAATATCTAATGTTTTTCATGATATAATGTTTTTCATTTTTACTAATTAACATAAAAAATCAAAATTCTTAATTAATTAAATAAACAAAGGAAAAAAAATATTTTTAAACTTGAACTAATAAATAATTGAGTAAAGACTTTGACTTAACTAAATTTTAATTTATAATAAACTAATTAAGAAATAAAATATTTAAGGGTATTTTCATATTTTCAATCAAATATTAATAGAAAACACTAGCAAAACTTGACGAAGGGTGGGAAAGTGTCATTTTCAAACTTGACGGGTGGGAAAGTTCGTTTTGCCAAACCTTGCGTGGGAAAATGTCGTTCTCCCTTTTTTCTTTTCATTTCTTGTTTTTGGGCTTTTGGCATCTCTTCAGGTGTCTTTAGTTCTTTTAGTAGGGTTTTCATGTTTTCTTTTTCTGTGCAAGAATCCAACAACCAAAAATTTTATTCTCAGGTGCCCATGACTGACAGATACAATTATAAAGAATACAACTATAAAATAACAAAAGAAGAGAGAGCTTCAAGCTCCACCTTACATGGCTCTTGAAATCTAACTCAGATCTGTCATAATTCTAGGACCAAAGCAGGCTGCAGTTGGATAGAATGGGGGTTTGGCGAGTGGGTTAAGTTGCAAAATTGGAAATGTTGGGGGTTTTGTTTCCTTAAAATGGGAATCAATTAACAGTGCTTACTGTTATAGTGTTATTGTTTTACATCAATGGAACATTGTGCGTTTAACAGCAAATAAATGGCACACTCTGATTTTGATGAGAGGTTGATCGATGTTAAGTGTTAAAGCAGAAGTGTCTTGAAATCTCTTAACTAGTTTGTGCTTGAATGAACAATGACAATTGACAATCATCTAGGCTTCTATTTTTTTCCCCATTTTCATGTTACCTTAATCAATTTTCAGAGGCTGCATGCAGTTAAGTCACAGGCAGAGGAAGGTGGAATCAAATTATGGGAGAATGGTACAAAGCAAACTAGCCTTTATAATTTGTAATTATAATTAGAAATGTGATTATCGATAGGAACCCACTCCAGCAACTCAAACAATTAGATTGGACAATGTGTTTTTTGTGGGTTTAGATAGAACTATTGAAAAACCAACTTGTCGAGGGAGAGTTATAACCCACATGTCCACCATTTTCTCTTCTAGTGTAAGATCTTAACACGTCACCACAGTTTTGCAACCTGCGTCTTCTTTACCCCTTGGGTGACCATGCAAATCAAATTAAATTTAAAGGGGTTAAAAGTGTGATATTCATTGAATAAGAATGAACCGATAAAGTTAAAGGGATGAAATTGAGGATTTGATCCAAGATTTCCAAGCGCGTCTCTCTCTATACATATACACGTTAATTTAGGGGTGCTTTGACACTTAGAAAATCTTCATTAGAGGAGTTGTTGCAGAAAATACCATACCATCATTTTGTAATCCGAGATTTCAATTTTTAACATTCTCCTGTTCAAGCACAAACTGTGGGACAAGAAGAAAAGAAGGCTGGATTTGTAACTAATTACAATTCAAAATGTCACAACTGCAACCATATATCTACATTTTGGAACGTAGCACGTACAGATCTACAAACAAAATAAAAATAACAAATCGGAAGATATTCTAATATCCTTCTGTACTTTCATCATTCAAATTTGGCATATGGCTACTCTCATCATCAGAATTAACAATATTTGAATCCTCCGGCGATGCATCCACCTTGTCATCAATGCTCTCATATGTCATCTGTCCAATACTTGAACTCCCAGAAAATGAAACCAAGGCAATGCTTTTCCCAATAGCATCAACATCTCTGGTTCCACAATACAGACCCCGGCTACCTGCAAGAAAAAAGCTTTGGTTCTCATCAACATTAGTCAGAACAGCAGGTAACACATCAATCAATGGAGGATTGGTCTGAGTTGAACCACTAATGAGTAGCCGCAATGTCTCTCTTGCACCATTCTCTACCACTGACTCACTCTCAGTAATCATTGGATTCACAAGTTTTGGGTGCAATGGAGGAATCGTAGTTGATATACCAGGACCAGCACTCACCAGGTAGCCTTGACCTGAAGAGCAAACATCAATCACTGGAATGTGAACAATTGGGTCACACATCAATGGTGTGAAAGTTGGTATCTGCTGAGAACTTGGCACTTGCAACCGAACCAACGGATCTGGCAGGAAAGCTGGGAAATCCAGCGAAGGAATGTCAGCAAGATTGAGAGGTGGAGTTGGTGCCAACAAACTGGCAGATCCATTAGCTGATAACAAGGAAGAAAGTGGCGGGAGTAAAGGTGGTTCGCTTGATGAGGCTGGGAGTTGTGAAGAAAATGCTGGATGTTGCAATGATGATGACACACCTAGAGGGCACCAACAATAGTAAGGAGACAAAAGAGGTGAACCTACAGAGGAGACTTCAGTCGATTGGCTTGAGGTTGTAGGGACAGAAATTTTCCCAAGCGACTCCAGAAAAGCGGGAGAGAATTGGCAACTTCTGCCTTCTGAAATATTATTGCCAGTTTCAGATTGACTGGAACATGATTCATCAGTAGTAAAAGGTGAAGAAACTGTCAAGTTGTCAACAGCAGACAGATAGCCATCACCTCGGCGCCTTAACTTTTCTCTAGCAGCAGCACTTCTTAGAGAGGACAAGCTTCTGGGCAGACCCTCCTTAAAGGAACTTGATCTTGGACTGAGGCTACCCTGGTAGATTGAATTTGCCTTTACAGCTTGACTGCCATTGTGCCGAGATCGCAAAGACTTAGAGGATGAGGACTGGCATTGAGTATTTTGAACTGAATCTGAGAAATCAGATGTGGTACCACATGAAGGAGAAAGTGACTTTGCACAACTTGCTCGGGTGTTGCTCAACGATGATCCCACAAGATAGGCACGAAGGTGAGTTGCTAGATATCCAAGGCGCGACTCACTGATTCCAGTTAATTCAGCAATTGAAGGTTTCCTTTTGATAAGATCTTTCATCTGTGACAGAAAAAAGATTATCAAATAATGCCCTAAATAAAGATCTTACTGTAGCAAAACCATACACATTTTATCAGCTATTTATTGAGTGTAAGGGTGTGACCATCATCAAATAACATATACCTTTGAAATCAATTCAATGCCCAAAAGCTTGGACTTCTCTGAGCACCAGAAGTATGAAACTCTGCTATCTGGGATCTCTATAAGAAATGATCGACCAGAATGATCTGCTGGGATCTCATCAATTACAACAGCAGAGCACTCAGATTTGCAGCTCAGGGTAAACAGTCTTTCTGTATGACCATCATCTCCAATGAACGAGAGTCGCAAATCAGATGTTGGCAAGATCGTAAGACTTAGATTCCCTCTGTAATGTTATGAAAAGACAAAAAATAGTTGAGAAGAGGTAACAATAAAATGAAGCACCGAAGAAGAACAATTTAAACACTATAAAATTCAAGCAAGACGAACCAAAAGTGGTGAAGAGGCAAATACTCTTACATATCACAAAAATTGAGCAGAAAAAACCTCTCATATTTCAGTTTAATACAAATTTTAACAAATATGAAACTAGAAGCTAAGACATAATGATTCAGTTAACTGTCAAAAACCAAGGACGGACGAGAAGACCGTAAGTAACTGCTTCCTAGAGAATGATATAGGTAACCCACAAAACACCCAAAAAGTGTTCAATTGCGTATACTATCAATGCTAGGGGCATCTAATACCTCAATATCCAAAAAATAACCTCCCCACGCGAGAGTGTCCCATCACATTCACCCAAGGTTGATTACGATATATCCATATTTTTTTGGTCACAATATTAGCAGTAGTTGCACAAATGGTCAAAACTATAAGACATCCAGTGTAAAAGTTTACTTTTAGTTTTGAGTTACTTCCATTACTAATTTAAATTTAGAGCAAAAAATAAATATTTTGTTGAACAGTTGTTTCACACAGAGGTATTAATCAAGATCCACAAGTACACAGGACATTTTATAACAGCCAGTTTTTTCAGAGCAATTAAATTCATATTCATGACTAAAATTAATATATAAAACTTAAAAGGATATAAAAGCACATAACAAAACAATAACAAGAAGATATGAACAAACTCAAATAGAAATTAAAAATTTCATAGACCACCAAACTTCAAAATAGCAAAATACAGAATGTCTAATATCAACTCGGGATCACAAGAAAATTTAAGACAAGGACTTCACACTTATTTTCTTCTACGGCAATTAAATGTTGTCCCTACATATACAGAATACAGCAAAGCCATATAATATAGGAGATGAAACTACCTTCACTTCCCCTTAATTCAGAGATCATTTATACGCCCACTTTACCTACAAGTGAAAAGATATATTTATTTGGAAGCATGAACATTATCACCATCAATAAACTAAATATAGAATCCTAGAGTTTCAACTATTATCATCCACCACCAGCGGTCTGCCCAAGAATATCATATTTGAATATATCGCCAAGGCCAGTTTTATTTATAACCGTTATGATGATATGGCAAAGTCATTAGATAAACCTATAAACCTGTTCCTGTGTAGCAGCCTAATATACAAGTATTATGCAACAGTTAGACAAGATATATTATATAGAAAAAAAAAAAAAAAGCAAGTCACAAATGATTTTGTTTTAAGATGAAGTTTACTAAAGGTGATCACACATTTCCAATTATAATGTCATACCAAAAGCACAAACCCTTGTAGTTATGATCAAACCAAACAAACAGATATAAGGTCCTCAGAAGAAGAAACGAGCTAATATTATTTTAATGACACACCAGTATTGAGCAAAAACAGAGGCCACAATATTCTTAAAACATGAGTACACACATGCAACAGATATATTAACATACAAACTTACAGGCATATTAACATGAGTGAATAACTGCGAAACATCAGGACATTTTAAACCATGTATATTTTTAAACCACCTGCCAGCAGTCATACAATTACAATGGCATATTAGCAATCAATTACCATTAGATAGCTGCAAAAAGAATCATCACATCTGTTTGCGTTACTCTTTAACAGTTAAGATAAAAATAAAACAACAAATCAATAAAAGGCAGCTTTACATAACAAGAAACTAAATTCATTAAATAATATGATATGACAAAATTCAACAAAATGGCTTCCTGATCCTGACCTTGCCAATGGTTTTTTACATTTCTAACTTAAAACACGGTAACAACAAGGATTAACCATAGATTAAAATTAAACAGACAATGTGGCCTAAGTATCCCAATCATATTGAGCCATGCGATTAACTAGTAACTGGAAGGTGAAGATATAACCACCCAACAAACGAATGGCCTTAAACCATTTTATGATAAATCTTATAAGAACAAACTTACACACAATGTATTCATTTTCTTTTTTATACTTTTACATATTACTGTACCACACAGTTTTGATTTTCACAATTTCTAATATATATGCATTGACATGATACCAAGAAATTAATGTAAGAAAAAATAAAAAACCATGATTCAACACACATACATGGCAAATCGAGACACAAATATGGACGCAAAACCAAATTACCTAATTGAAGCTGGGCATAGTAGGCTCCCTTGCTTGTTTATTTTTCCAACTCGAATTGACACAAGTGGTATGCAAAAACACCTGGCTAACATACACACTTCCGACGGCTCAAAATGCTGTACACATCAACAAATCACAAAAATCAGAATCAATTATCAGCAAAATTAGCTGGAAAAACAAAAGAAATAAATCGCGACACGTGTACCTGACTCAGATGAGCCAATAACCGATCCTCGGCGACTCCGCTTGAAGCATTAGACTTCAACAACGGCTTCAATCGCTCATCGGCGCGACAAGCTCCCATGACTTGCATATCAAGAGCCTGAAGCCACAGCAAAACCCTATCTTCACGATCGCTCCGTTGAAGCAACAAATCTCCGTCTCCTTCTTCAACAAATATGTCCGTCAATCGCTCCGACAGTCCAATCTCACGTGATCCAACGGTTGAGGTTTCAACACCGGCCGAAGAAACCGATACAGTGTCCGTGTAATCGTCTCCATTAGATTGATCTACATGATCGTCAACCATATCTTGCTTTCCGGAGTTCGCCATGACAGATTCGTCAATCAAAACACGAATTCGAAACCCTAGATTTCAATTTCTGTTTTGTTTTTTCCGATAAATTCGAGGACTGAAAAACAGTAAGTCAATTCGAATTAACAAGAGGTGAAATTAGAATGTTAATTTAATAGGATTTGAGAGGAAAATTTCCGGTTAATTGTTGTTGGTTGGTTGCAAGGAAATGGAGGGGGATAACTGATAAGAGAAAAGGCGTGTGAACGAGGGTTTGTTGTATATATATGATATATTAAACAAGTGAAAAATAATAACAATAACAATAATGCCTGGCGGATTCGAAAGGGCGGTGATAAAAAATGGTTTTGTTGTAGGTTTGAGTCCGTGACGTAAGCAAACAAAGACGTGGGGCCCAAAGTTTGTAGTTGTAAAGGTTGACACGTCAGCAAACAGGGTTTTTGTTTGGTGGTGCCCGGAGACGGCAACGGAGCGGAGCGATAAATAATATCATGGTTGAGCTCTAACGTACGCATTAGGAAGAGGGGTTAAGGAGGAGATGGATTTTTTTATTATTAAACCAAAGGAAAGGAATCTCTTCATCATCTAAACTAAAATAAGATGTTATTATGACTTAATTAGTAAAAGAGTCGTTGAGGAATAAAATAAAATAAAATATCCAGTTATATTATAATCGAGTGATGGTGTTATTAAATTAAGAAATGGTTTGGTTTGGCATGAAAGGGACAGATGATTAATCAATTGAGTAAACAAACCTTTTCCCACCCATGGTTTGCCTTAAAAGACATTTTACATCTCAAAAGTTTTAAAATACCACTTTTTCACCCAACGTTAACATTCCGATACTACTCAAAGACAATTTTGGCAAACAAAATCCTTTCCATCACCATCATTTGAAACTTTGGTCTCCTCTCTACAAAATCTCTCTCACTTCGGCAAATGACTTCTCATCATTGTTGATCGCCGCAAAGTTAGGATTTCCTACAGGGTTTTAAAACTCGACTTGGGGAGTGACCCAGTCAAATCACCGGATTGGCCGGTTCAACCGTCGGGTCAAACCGTGATGTCAGCATGATGACATCATTCTGATATCAATGTGATAAAAAATAATAAAATAATAAAAAAGTGGTTCAATTGTTGGGTCGAATCGGGTGGACTAACGGTTTGTAACAAAAAATCTAGTCCAACAGTGGTTCAAACTGGGTCATTTGAAAATTTTGGTTTTTTAATCGAATCAGTTCCTAGTTCAACCAGTTAAATCGACCAGGCCAGGGCAAGTTTTCAAACCATGGTTTCCTATTCTTAACTAATTTTCGACTGATTCTGGTAGCTTGAAACCATCATTAATTAATGTTAAGGGCAAGTTTTCAAACCATCATTTGATTCACTGGCTCTATTTTAGAAAAACCCTCTTACTCTGGCTTATGGTAACTCATCGAAAGTTGGCTGAGAAAATGAAGTGTACCCAAAGATTAATGGAGTATAAACTTTGGGTGAGAAAGTATTATTTTGAAACTTTTTAGGTAGGAAAGTCATTAAGGCAAACCTTGGGTGTTAAAAAGTGGTTTACTCTAATTAATGTTAAAAAAAATGGGGATCAGCTTTTTGACACTAGAAAAGTAGGTGTATAGGAATCAGCTTTCCAAGAAATATCTATTTGGGTAGGTCCCGCAACAATAATTCAACATGACTGATTGCCAGTTTGATTACAGATGCTCTACTCAACCTATCACAATCCTTTCACTGAGAGCACAGCACTTATATATATTTTTATTCCTTAATCCTTCCTCTACTAGAATATTCAATAATATTTGTGTTTAAAAATTTACCATAATGTTTTTTTTAAATACAATATGTGACATTCAAATTTAAAAAACATTTTATTATTTATTGATTTATATGATTCTGATGGGGTGAGAGTTTAGGGTTATCCAAGCTTAATAATAAATAAGGGAATTTGGGTGATGTGAGAGTGAGAGATACCAACCAAAAAAGTACTGTGTTAGGCTATGATATTAACAAAGAACTAATTGAGAGTGAGAGTGTGAGAGAGAGAGAGAGAGAGAGAGAGAGAGAGGGTGCAAAAAAGGAATATTCTTTTGATTCCGCAATGGCCCTTCAGATTGACTGTGAGTGTATTATAATTGTAGTCTTCCAAGAAAAAGCAGGTTACTTGAGATCTTTTTTTTTCTCTTTACTGTATTTTCGCTTCGTGTAAGTAATAACTTCAAGTCTTGGTATTCGTGCAGTTCTTCACTTTAACCCTACTTTATCAAAAGTTCCCATTAACTTCGCTCAAGTAAAGAAAGGCAGGGGTGCACAGCTGTGTACTGTGTAGACAATCCACTAAATGGGGAAATCAATTATACGGATTATCATTAGACCTGCGGGTACCCGATTAAAAAATGGGTACGGATTACTAATTTAAGATCCGTTTATAAAATACCCGTATCCGGTCTCATTCGTTTTTTGTAGGTGGATAGGCTATGTTTGCGGGTACCCAATATTTTAAAAAATAAATTGTTTAATTAATTTTAAATTTGTAGATGAAAAATACATGTACTATGGTGTATTTATATCGTGTTAATTTTTTTTGTATATCATAAACGATTAAATTTATCTCCTAAGTCATAGTAAACTTAAACGAGACTCTCATCACCTCATCAAAATTATTCAATAAAATATTGTCAAGTGTTAAATCCCTAGCAAAGAAACTAATTATTTTAATTTATGTTAATTTTATCATTAATCAAAATACATATAGTAAATTTTTTTTTTAATAATATTATACCCGTAAACCTTTCTTATTAGCGTGTCAATTCATAATTTGTATTGTGGTCTTGTATATCTAACAATTCTACCTCATCTGTATCATACTGCCGTCCTTTTCCTACTTCCTCTCTGTCACTTCTGTCACCACTGTTCTATGCCTAATTAATGTTCTCCATCTATGTCACCAGCAGCGTGGCTGTTCTCTATCATTTATTTATTTGTTTATTTTATTTATTATTTATCCACGTAGGATAGGCCAACATCAGTTGGTTATGTTTCAATATCAGATTCCGCTACATCAAATGTGGAAAACACTGGAAAGTTTTGCCCTTGGATTAAGGGAAGAATTACTCTTCAGTCTGTTCAAATTGAGAGGGAAAGAGCACCCCTAGCCTCCGCTATGTATCATCCATCAGATTCTTTTCATCATTTTTGTGCTTTTGAAAGGGCTATTTCTGCGACTTGTTTTGTTAGTTTAATAATACTAAGCAACAAAAAAACAGGTACCCACGGATGCACCTGTACTTGTACAGGGGTAAGATACGAGTCCAAATTTTATTGCCCTTATAGAAGTAAGACTTTTTGAACCCATACCCGTTTTACCTGCACTTGGTCCATACCCACCCGGCCCGTTTTGCCAAGTCCAATTATCAGCTGGCAAATACCGATCCAAGCATTCTCATGATGAACCCATTGAACAGACAAAGACATCCCTCACTTTATGAAAACGATGGCGTTCTACACATTACCAATCATACTGTATATGCTAAGATTCTCAGCATAATTCCCCCCCAGGTTTAAAACTAACCATCAAAAAACAAAGTAACAGCTAGAAAAATCTTGCATCTAACAGGTTGGCAACTGTTACAACTGTTAAATGAGTACAGCCACCAAAATATCTAATGCTATTTACGAAATACCAATTGAGGATATAAAAAGATGGCAACCCTTCGGTTTCATGAAGGGCAATTTTGACTAAAGGTGTAAACTGTAGTCTAAAGTTGATTCATTCGGTTAGGTTCAAAATTTTCCAATGCAAGCATATTAATTATGAAAAACATCTGCATTAATTGACAATGTCCCTGGATCTCACTTCCTAAACAGTAATCTTTCACAAAAGCTCTGAAGATTAAGATTACTTCTTCTTCTTTGGTTCTGCTGTATACTTATCAACTAGAGCTAGAACATCTTCCCAGAATACGCCCTCCACTAAAACTCCATCCCTGGTGAACCTGTGCATTATTTTTAAAAGATCAGAAATGTAGAGTAGATATATTAGTTCACATCCTAACTTCAAAAGCCTAAAGAATAAGCAATGTATATGCCCTAGGAACAAACAAGTACTTGGATATGTGTGAATGTGTCTCTGTGTTGTGTGTGTGTGTGTGTGTGTGTGTGTGTGTGTGTGTGTGTGAGAGAGAGAGAGAGAGAGAGAGAGAGAGAGAGAGAGAGACCATTTAGTGACGCTTTTGGTAAGCTCAACTGGCTGCCCTGCTGATATTGATTTTGGATCTGCACTTGCGATGGTAAGTGTGTACTGATCGGAGAATCTTGGCAATTTGGAAGAAACCACCAAACCAGTGCTGGAGAAGGAACCCTGTAGAACAAATTTCCTAATTCGATGTTAAATGAAAATATAAATTTATAATTCAACTACAATCCAAGTTTTTAAACTTTTACTAGCATTGTCAGTTCACATATCTTGACAACAAAGTTTCACTAGCACTACACAGGATGAGATGAAAATCAATGCACAAATGCATGATGTTTATCAAGTTGTGGTAGAAGATGAAAAACAACGCACACATTTGCATGATGTTTAACAAGTTGCTATAGAAGGCAAGAAAAGGGTTTCATGTCTGTTCATTTCCTACAGGAAAAACAACAGGAAACACAATCACCACAGCTCGTCATAGAATAAAATGAATTTGGACACCTGGACTCAAGAAACCAATCAAAAGGTAACCACAGAAGACTGAAGAAATTTTTTAGCAAACAGGACAGTTGCAGAAGAAATGAAGGACTTCAAAATCAACCTGGGGGCTTCCCACAGCTAAGATATTACTTCAATAATAAATCATAAGTGTATTAACTTGACTTACAAATTTATAAGTAAAACTTAATTTATTCATAAAAGTAAGGCAAGAGTATTAAGACTAGTATTTTATACAACATACTAGCACATATAACCTCGAGAAGATAAATCCATAACCTAAATCAAAGATTAGCAGGGTCTGCCACAGCAACATTTGCGTAAATATCATAGAGATCAAGAAAAAGTAATGGGACAAATCAAAATACCCGTGGTTACTGGTGGCAGAAACTTCCCACTGATTATTATTAAGTGAAAAGAGAACCGAATAAAAAGCAATCAGAGAAAATAGAGCTTTATGGAAATAATTCTTCCGAATTATTGCCTTCCAAACCAACCAAATAAAACTAAACATCACCATCCCTATTGTCTCTGCTACCCTGCACCTAGGTTAATCCTCCAACAATATTGACAATGCCTAACAAACCTACACATAACATACTTAAAATCAACTCTCACCAAAAAAATAAAAAAAATAAAGATTCCAAAGCTTCCTCAAACTTGAGGGTTGTAGAAAAGCTGCTGACAAGACTAAAAGTCTGTTTGGTTGGGCTTCTTTATTGACCAAAAGGGCATTTTTAATCCCCTAAGCACTTTTAATTCTTTTTAGGTTGTTTGGTTGCATTTCAAAAGTATTTATATAATTATAAAAAATTATTTTATGGCTTTTGGGAGAAGCTCTAAATTTGGGGTTTTCCCAAAAGCTCTTTTTAAGCTTTTCTAAGACTTCCCTCATGTCAAATGTATCATCGCATTATTTTCATAATTCCACTATATACCCTTCCTTTGAAATAAAATCCTCTTATTTATTATTATTATTATTATTATTATTATTATTTTAATCTATAGCCACCATCTCAACAAAAATCCTTACCACTCTCCTACGGGATCGAAATTCAACAAATCAATTTCATAGGTATATAAATATAACCAATACTTTTAATATTTTAAATGATATTTCTAGTTTTTACATGATTATTTAAATTCCAAACATTATTAATTTTGAACTATTTATTATTTAAATTACAGTTAGAAATTATTATAATTATTTTTATTTCATATTGCATATATATTATTAAAATGAAATAACATATTGTTAGTGTATGATATAAATTAAATATATCATATACCTTTATGATAATTTATCATGAAATAAGTGCTTTTATAATAATACAACCAAACGATCAACTAAAAAGAGCTTTTATAATTAACAACCAAACAACCAACAACTTATTAGTAAAAGCTCTACTTTCATAAGCTCTTCTTGGAGAAGCCCGACCAAACAGACCATAAAACATACACATAGAACATCTCCAGAGACAACCAAAAACCAAGTAACTTAAAACACAAATAGGCACATTTAACTAGAGGCACCATCCAAAAATTCTATGAAGCTACTCCACATAGTAAATAGCAAGCATTTCAGGGATATTAAAATAAATAATCCACTAACATCAACCAACATAGACATTCAAGTATACTTATCATGGAATTAGCATTTATTTGCCTAAAAAAATATGTATAATTACAAAAAGGTACATACATTTATGTAATATATTGAAAAACCCATATTTCAATATTGTTTCATGCTCCATTAAACACTCATAGAATGCTGAATATATGCGTTCAAGACATTACATGCATAGAAGTAAAAACATGTTAGCTAGCAACAAAATTCTACAAAACAATACATTTAAAAACAGGAACAGGTACTTACCTCAGGAGGATAAGTAAACAAGATTGCATTCTTTTCCTTTGTGTGTATGAATAGCTGCAATATCACATTGAAAACTACATACTTGCCAGAGTCAAGGATCAAACACAATTGAAATTGACATCATTACGAAAATAATTAAAGAAGTATCAAATCAGCAAGTATAACAAACATCAAAATTCAACCAAATAGTAGATGTTTCAACTAAATCATAACAAACAGGCCTATAATTTAACCAAAATCAAATCAAAATTAGAAAAATTTAAGGAAACAAGAAAAGGATATAACGCGATACATCCGATCAAAAAATCGCGATTCTCTGGAAACTTCTTTTTGTAAAATTGAGCAACCAACGCAATGACAATGATAATTGATCCCATGAACAACCTAATATTGCTCTTTCTCACGTCTTCCACATAACCGCGACTGCCAACAATCTATTTCAACAATATTAAATTAAAACAAAACCTCAATTTTTTTTTTTAGGAGCTTAAAAATTACATAGATATAATGAATGGATCTAGGTTTTTGGATTACCTCAGGGACGGTCTCGTCGAGGACGTGTTTGATGGAGTGATGATCTAAGAGATTGGCCTTCTTAGGGTTTTTGTTCGCCATTTCTGATTTCTCTGGCATTTTTTCGCGGTGTTCGTCTGTAAATGGTTTGGTGAATTTTAAGAGGGCGTGAGGTTTTACCGTTTTAGTCGGAGCTTATAAAGCGTGTTGATGATACTTGATAGAGTTGACTGTTTTGAACTTAAACGACGTCGTTTTACTGGATTGAGTTAAAACTAGGCTTTCGTTTGTAATTCATGTTAAAAACTCAAAACTTTAAAACCTTGAGATTATGATTTTTCAATCAGTTTTTAATTCCCGATTTTCAGATTACTATTTCACTTAAAAGACTTTTATTTACTGTCAAATAGGAAGCCTTTAAACTTATATTTTTAAAATTCTACATTTAAGCTTTAACTTATTCAGTAAAAAAGATGCGCTTGATTTCTATTATACAACTTCTAGTTTCAGAAAACTACCAAGACTAAGGGAAATAAATATGGAAAGTAACTGAGCTAGTTAAATATTTAATTATTTATAACATTCAAATTTGGAGGCAAGACCAGTGATGCTCATTCCATGATCCAACAAATCCACATTGGATATCATACCAAATTGTTTTGATAAATTAATAATCCTTCGTGGAAGGTATACAACTGAATTTATTTCTATGCTTAATGCCTTCATTTCAAGCTACAAATTACTGATGGTGAAACTGAATTTTGGTAAACATTTTGACTAGCAACATTCTGCTTGCGTCAACGAGGTAAATTGCAAGAGAGGCGAATCATAAAGGCCTTGATCAAGGAGACTTGGCAGAAATGCGGTCGCAGGTGAGCAAAAACCGAGCACCCTCGACAAGCTCTTCCTTCACCATGAACAACACAGCAGCTGCAAGAACACTTTGAACGATTTTTGTACTCATACCCTTGTAAAAGCCATTGAACCCTTCATAGCGGATCATCTTCAAAATGGCATCCATTGTACCTATAATTATAGTGAAAGGAAGAAATAACATGATGTCAATGATCTTTTGGAAACGATTATAATCAAGGAAACTTGTATAAAAGATTTTAGGCACATAAAAATGACGCCTGTTAGCGCTGGTTTTCCCAGTTTTACTTATTGTGTAAGCACAGTTAGTCTATGCCTTAATATAATTTACTCTAGATCTGTGCATATCAGATTATGTTTTTAAACAAAGCTATACCAAGGCAAAATCAACTAGTTCGGGGTTCGGTTGTGATGTCAGCTATTAATTAGATCATGAACAGTTTCAACAAGTCAATACTTCCATAAATCATCATACATGAAATTTCAACATAAGAATCCAAACCTTTATATTGGTGCCTTTTATCCCCAGTTTTGAACTGTTTTGCTTGAAGCCTCGACTACAGAGAAAAAAAAAAAAAAAGAAAAAAAAGTCAATGAGGAACAAAAACAAGTAAACAAATCGATATGTGGAGATATTTTAAAGTCCCTAACACAACCAAAAAATTCAAGAACAAAACCCAAATGGTAATAAATACTGTCTTCACCATTGACTGTAGCAATTATTGCTATGACAATAGTCAATCTTGAGTATAGCAGTGCATCTCTAAACTTGATTTCTGGGAAGAAAAATTTTTCTGCCTGCTATTTCTCATAACATATTCATTCTAGCCAAAACAACAAAAAGAATATGCCAAATTCAAAAACATTGCAGGACAAAGTGCTGTAAGGAAATTCATTCTGCCATGTCACAACATCAGAGGAACAGAAAAGTTATAATTCATGAAAAAATTTTAAATTAACTTGGGAAAACTCGGACAGGAAGAAACTTTTTGTGAGTTTTTTCAGTCTAAAACAAACTTCATCAGCTAGTCTTATGGATAATTTCACCTTCACAAGTAAGATTCAATAAGGTTATGACTCAGTATAAATTGCTGATCCTAAAGTCATGAAGTTCTTTCTCAAATAAAATTGAGACTTCGAAGTCTACCTTTACAACAAGTAGTGGATATGTTACAACAGTGGCTCCGAGTTTTGCCAAAGCTCCAAGAAGAAATATCTGGCAAAATCAAGCAGTTTATTCAGCTTAAAAAATTATTATAGAACAAAAAGTAAGTGGAAGTTAATATGTGAGCACTAAAGTACTGAGTTAGAATTAGATTTAAAAGAAATGGAGGTGACAGAGAACTGAAGTGGAGACCAACCTCTAAAGCAGTTACTCCTTTGTTATCCTTCTTACTCAAGGTACGTCTTTTCTTCAGCTTCTTTAACATGGTTTCATAAAGCATAAATTGTATGGACGGATTGCTCACCTGTAAAAAATAGTAGCAACAGTCAGTGACACATCAGTGACACAAAGAGGAGTAAGTTTTCGCTTACCATGATCAATGTTGGGAATACACCTTTCCAAAAGCCCCAAAATCCAGCTTCGCCATAGATTTCTTGAATCTGTAAACATTACACCAAAAAATATATAAGAAATTTTCTTTCCCTGTGGCTCACACCAACAAGATAATAGCAACAGAATTATTTCCAATCGCACGACTCATGAGCAAACTACATAAAACAATAGCATTAACTTATTCTACCCACCACATGGCTAGTTCCATAGGGTGGAGGCTCAAGTGCAGCAGGAATCACTTCATCTTGAGTAACTGCTTCTATTTGACTGGGCTGGGACTTCTTCGATACTTTTGTATGAGTCTGCAGGAAACAATAATTTGAAACATGAAACTAATTCATTCCACATAAATTAGCTACTAACATGCAAAGGCAGAATATATGATGCCATATAAAAAACCAAAACTCACATCCCATGGCCTGATTTAGATTTTTGGAAGATGCACATAACATAAAGAAGACATGGATTAAGAAAATGTAAACACTGTTGAAGTTAATTTGAACATAAAATTCTAACATCTCACATATTTATTACTCTATACCAAATTCATGCAGTGTAATACATAGGCCCCTATTTTATCTAGCTTTCGGCTAGTAGCAAAAAATAACTTCCATATAGCAATCAGGAAAACTATAAATTCAAGTTCAGAAGAGGAACCTCCAATATTTTGCAACAAAAAATTCTCTTAATCAACTGAGTATTAAGGAAGGAGATGTTAATTACTGAACACATCATGTATAGAACAAACAGAAACTTAAATTGTTAATTAGCTATTACCTGCATGCGGGTAACAACCACCCAAATGGGGTTTGTCAACAGAACATTTACACACCTACATAAAGAAAAGTATTAATCATCCTTTTATCATCAAATTACACTAATAAAAATGGAGAAGTAAAATTGAACGGTTAGGTGATAGAATAATCACCTGACAAATGTGTTCTAATTTGATTTGCAATGTATCAAAAAGACATGATTATATGTGTACCATGTTCTGGTGCCACGCTAATTTGAGATTTAGTTTTTTGGAAGGAGTCTATGCAATCAAAAAAATTGATTTTTTCAGAAAACAATGACATTGAGATCAAAGTATTCTCTTCTGCAAAAATATACACACTAAAAGCTGGGCAGAATGTACAAGAAATAAAATATCAAATACAGATCAGAGCTATATGCCTTAAAATCAATGTTCCTGTCCCTGACTGACAGGGTTGAGTGTAATAAGAAACCACAACAGCGCAGAACTGTACTCAAAATTTATTTATATACAATGAACCAAATTCACTAGAACTCGATAAAGTTTACCCTGCTAGAGCAGCAACCACAAGTGATGAAAACATGCCAACTGATCCATCACCAAACCCTTTCCTCTTGTGTTCAAGTGCCTTAGCTTCAGCTCTATTCCTGAATATTTGATAGAAATAATAGTAAACACCCTGTATCATAAAAAATGGCGACTATATAAGAAATAATAAAATTAAACAAATTGATGCAAATCATAGCAGAGAATGAAAATCTCTTCATTTAAGCTAAGTATATAACCCATTATTATGTTGTACTAAAGAAGATCAATTTGGTTAAAAAGTTAACGGGGATGCAGTGAGACATCATATATGCTAGCTGACATACTATCATATACCACTCAACAAACAAGCCCTAGAGGCCAGAATTAGGAAAATGATTTAGAGTTAATTAAATAGAATCTTGACATAAGCCCCTGGGAAGTTAATCAGCTAGCATTAAATAATTAACATTCAAGGGCAATTTGTGGGTTACTTTTAACCCAAAGGTTATGTTAAACCAATCTTTCATAACCTTCAGCAAGAATCAACAGATTCCTCCTAAATGCAATTCTAAGTTAGCTCGTTTAGGCAGACAACATAATATTGAACACTGAGAAATTCTCCAGAAGCTCAAGGTTTGTAACTATTATTCACCTCATCATAACAAGAAGTAGAACAACAAAAAGAATGAAGAAAATATGACAAAAAAGTGTATGCAAAGTGGCACGTCTTTCACCACCCCAGGACCACATACCCATTTACATTGAAAATCACAAAACATCTTCTTGCTGTAATTATGAACTAGCCATTTTATCAAATCAATTCCATAATCCAATATCCTTCAGCTACAATTTATAAATATCTTGGAATCAGGCTAGTTTCTTCCCGTTCTAAAATAGATTGAAATTAACTCAAACACTGATAGTTTTTAAATTCCCAAACTCCATTTGCTCCCCAATCATACTTTGGAAAACCAAAGAAAGCATCAACAACTTAACATTACACATCTTTTTCAACACACAAGCAAACAAAAGCATGGCCTTCAAATCAAATATTAAGCAGCAGTCTTCAGTCTTCACATGCAATTAATCTAGAAATAAGCTTATTAATAAAAAAAACTCTCACCTGAGATGCAGCAGTACCTACTAGAGACGGCGCTAAACCTCCATACAACCGTTCCCACCCCTCGTGTTTCACAACCTACACAAACCAAACAAGAGAAAATTCAAACCTAACACAAAACCAAAACTTCAACCTCACATTTCTCATTGTTGATAGACTGCAAGGCTCCTCTCAATTTTCGGAACACTAATTTGTTCCTATTAACGTAAATTTAACATTAGATTTAAAAAAATTTAGTTTCCTTTCTTCTACACGATTTTAAATCAGCCAGCAAATAGAGAAAAATAATAAATAAATAAAAACCTGGCACATTTGTTCAACCGTTCCAAGCTTCCTCTTCTCTTTCTTCAGGTCACGCTCCGTTTGTTGCCGAGTATTTACCTACACGGATCAATAAAAACAATTACAGAATTACAAAAAACAATAATAAAATAGAAAGGAACAGAGATCATAAATAAATCATACAGTTTGAAGCGGATAAGTGATGAGCTGAGCGATGATCCCTCCACCGGCTCCGGCCAGTCCATTGATCAAAGCGTCCGACATAGCGAACAAAATTTTCCCGGGAAAATGCCGTTATTTTCTCGGGAAAATTCGTAAAAGTAGTTTTGCTTCTAAATCGAAAGAACTAACAAACCATTAGAGAGATCTAAAACTTTATAAAGACGTTAAAAAACGTGGACAATCTTTGACTTTGGCTGTATACGCATTCTGTTTGGTTCGCTTTCATCAGTCTCTCTTGAGTCTTGAGTCCCCACGCCTTTGTTACGTCCAAGAAAGTGCAGGTGACGTTGCCACGTTGGTGCCTGGCTACGTTTTGCAGAGTGAAATTACCATTTTGTCCTAGACACATTCGTTGATTACTAGTTAGATTGCCCCTTGTCGTCGTGTCATAATGGGTACTTCTTGGAATGCGTGTCTAATCCATTAAATTTATTTTTTTTTGAAATTTGGAGGGTAATTTTTTTTCTTTTTTTTTTGGGCATATTGTCTTATAATATCTAATTGAAAGATTAATTTTTACTGATAAATAATTATATTGAAAAACTCATAAAAATGTGCCTTCAACGAGAATCATGAACCTCGTTAATTTTAATTTTGTTTTTGTGAAGGAAAGCGAAATGTTTCCTGTAATTTAGTTTAGATTTTATTACAAAAATGTTCGTCAAATATTATACTTGAATGCCAAATTTTTAGGTGAATAAAGTTGGTAGTTTAGATTAATACCATTTTGTCAAAAATTCAATTTATCATGAAATTATGTTTAATTAGATGTCGGAAGCATTAATTACGAGGGCCCAATCATTATTTTAAGTTAGGAAAAGAAACATTTACCCACCCAAGGTTTGCCTTAATGACATTTTGGCGCTCAAAATATTTCAAAATACTATTTTTTCATCTAAAAGTTATCCGTTTGTTTTATTATTTTAGATAAGATTTTGAGAATAATTTTGAGTGATTGAATAGGGTGAGTATTACAAGGTAAAATTTAAAAATTAATAAAAAACTCCATAAGTTTGCTAATTTAACTAAATAACCCAATATATAAAATTTTTGTAGAATGACAAAAACACACCCACCCACCCACAGTGCCAGATTCCGACCACCACCACCAGACTCTGGCTGGAAAATGGCTTTATGACGCAGATCAGTCGGATCTGACGGGTAGGGAGTTGATATGGCCTTTTCACAGATCTGGCCGAAAAAGTCCAGATCTGGTCGTCGCTGACGACCAGATCGGTGAATTACCAACCAGTTTCGGTCGTTTGTAGGCCGTTGTAACAGATTTTGGCTACTACCGATGGTGGTTGTCGGAATCTGACAACTATGGATGGGTGAGGGTGTTTTTGTTAATTTTTAAACTTTTTTTGGGGGGTATTTAATGAAATTAATAAACTTAAGGGGTCAAAAGGTAATAAAAAATATACTAATATTTCCTAAATAATTAAACAAACAAATATTTTGGGAATAGGATTGGGAATATGGATAGAAATATTAAACCAAACGCACCCATACCCAAAATATTCTTTACTTTCTTAACTGACGTTCAACGAGTTACCAGAAGCCAAAGTAATATGGGTTTTGTAGAGTAAAGACCAATGGATCGAATGGTGGTGACCGATTGAATATTTGTCGTCGGTATTAGTCGAAAATCAGTTAAGAACAAGAAATTATATCTTTGCTGTGAGCGATAATCAACGAAAAATCAAGTGCCAATGTGAAAAAAGTTTTGTAGAGAGAAAACCAGAGATTTATATGGTTGTGACAGAGATAATTTTTTTCATGTGAATTAGTCAAAATCGACTTTAGATAGTAACAGAATATTAACTTTGGGTGAAAAAGTCATATTATAAAACTTTTTAGAAAAAAAGTGTCATTAAGGCAAACCTTGGTTTACTCTTTTAAGACCTTTTATATGTGCTTTAATTAAATTTCATTCTCTCCATCCATGGGATCTCTTGAGCGGCTGTTGGTAACGCACAATAATACTACAAATTATTTTCAAGTGCAAAGCAAAACAAATTCATAAATATTTATTACGATTTTTTAAATTTTATTAAGGAAATTTTTTTATTATGTTTTTGTAATAATAACAATAATCCCTTTAGGTATAATTGAAAAACAAAAAATTCCTCTACTATTAATTGTTTAGTGCTAAAACAAACAACAAAGGGACAATTATGTGAATATTCATTAATACGTCACGTGATAAACTCTAATGATATACTAATAGGCTAATAGCTAAGCATCAGCAGGAGAATTTTTGTTATTTTTGAAATCTCAAGATGACATTATTATTTGATTAAATCTTAGGGTCCAATAAAATAACCACCCCACCCCCAAAAAACAAAAAAAACTAAAACTTTTTAACTTTACGATATAGTCCCTTTCAATTTTATGTAATAAAATCCTTACAAATAAAAAAAAAAAAATGCAATAATTTTGATGATTTAAAAGAGTAAAATAACCCAAATCAATCCGTCTAATTAAATTAGACTTTCTTCTCTCATTAAATTCCTTATTAATCAACCTTCTTTATAACACAACTCCAGTTAAAGTAATACACTAAACACTCTTAAACACTATTTCTTCACGAAAACCTATTTGATCACGACTCAAAATGGTCTGGCAAGTCAAGTCTATAAATGGACAGGCAAGTAAGTCTATATTTCCTGAACAATTTCGAAAGTGATTTCTCAATTACTAAACAATTTCTGAAATTGGTTTCTTTATTCCTAAACAATTTCATACTTCCTTCGTTTTAGTCTCAGTATTATTTATATTTTCTCATACTATTTTCTTTCAGGAAGATATGGGGAAGAAAAAGAAGATTGCATATAGTGAACTTTCCAGAGAAAATAATTTGAAGAGATTCTTCATCAAGAAAGACAAGATCGATTCAGAACTTTCATTCAATTTTACCATCCACTATGCAGAGGGGGTAGACAAACCAAGGGACTATCCTATCGATTATTCGGAGAGGAATTACGTTGTTATATTCTGGATTGACCCTGAAAGAGTATACAACACTAGGGTTGTGAAAGGCTCACCGAATCCAATATGGAAACAAGATTTTTGTATGGTTATAAACCCAGTTGAGAGTTTTGGATTCCTGAACATAGAAGTTGTGAGACTAAATTCCAGGGCGGATCCTGGAACCTCAACGGGCTGGATCCTGGTGGGGAGAGTTAGGATCCCGATACCAAGAAAAATATGCACAAAATCTCAACGATATGGGCTTGTGAGACCCGAAGGTTCGGGTTACAAACCTGAAGGTCACTTATTTGTCTCCATGGAAACTAAGAAGATTCATCCTTGGTAGTTTGTTTAGTGCTTCAGATTATTAACTTCGTTATATATTTTAGTATTCTGACAGTATCCATGGTTTTTGGGCTTCATAGATTTCAGCGATTTGAAAAGAAGTGTTAAATGCTAAAATCAGAATTTTTTTTTTCCTTTATTTGGGGTGTTTATCCGTTCGGATTCATAAATTTCAACTAATTTTTGAGATCTCGAAAGTATCGGTTGAGTAAATTAGAAGTTTATTATGTGCAGTCAAAGTAGTGAATTGTCACATTATTTATTAATAGTAATTGAGAATTTATTGAATTGATTTTTTTATAAATTTATTCATTGCTATATTAATTTGTATAAAATAGTCAGTGAATGTTGTAGTAGTGTTATAATAAAGCCTTAAATTTTAATATTTTATTTAATAATTTCTTATTTCAGCCCCGATTATTCTTTCAAATTTTAAAATAACAAAATTTTTATTTTAAGTAAATCAATTTTAAGAATATATCATTAGGTACCAAGTGAACTACTTCCGTTTTCTCTGTAGTACCTTTATCTTGAAACAGTGTCCTTCGCGACAATCGGCATGGCCTCTTCTCGACCACCGCCACCTAAACCTCTAGATCTCGACCTCACAATAGTCTCCGCCAAACACCTCAAAAACGTCAACTGGAGACTAGGCGATTTGAAACCCTACTGCGTATTTTGGGTCGATCAGAACCGACGTCTCACAACAAGATCCGACGATTCAGGGTCGACCCGACCTGTTTGGAACGATCAATTCACGCTCCCTTTAACACTGCCCTTCCACGAGTCGGTGCTGGCTGTAGATATCTTCCACTCAATACTATCCGAAACCCCAAAGCCATTGGTGGCCACACTCCGGGTCCCGCTTAAGGACTTACCCGAGCCGTACGATTGTACCCGAATTAGAACCTTCGAGCTGCTTCGTCCATCGGGACGTCCCCAGGGTAAGATTCGCGTGAAGATAGGAGTCCGGGAATGTCCACTGACTGGGTTTGACAGTTACCAATTTGCCCCCCCACAGAGCTACTATTACAATTCTGCTCCTCCGTCACATTATCATCCACGTGAATATCGAGAATTCTCTCGCTCTCCCCCGGCCTACACTCCGAATTTTCCGGGATATGGTTATTCCTCCAGACCACCCCAATCGTTTTACGATCGGACGGCCGGTGGGTACGTGGGGTCCACTGATCCGGTTGATTATTCGACGTTGGAGCAGAGGCCCCCCAGCGATGGAAAAAGGGCACTGGGGACAGGACTGGCTGTGGGTGCGGTAGCTGGGGCTCTAGGTGGACTCACATTGGAGGAGAGATTATCGGAAAGGAGTAAGTTTGGTGCACGTGGTGATTATAGCGGTTATTATCCTGATTATTAAGGTTATTTAGTTGTTGAAAAACATCCCAGTATTGTTACCACTCCTATCCAGCACCTATTTTGTAGATTGACTGGTTTCACGATATATATATGAAAGTGTATAGTTTATTTTGTTTCGTTTCATTTTGGAATGGTTCAAGATGATAATAGGAATTTTTTTGGGAATAAATAATTGCTGTCACTTTTAATTGCTATTTGTGTGTTGCTGAATTTAGACGAATGTTTTGAAACTTGAGTAGATGTGTGATTGAACCGTATAAGTGTGCATGACGTTATTTTTATTATGTTTGCATGTTCTATATCAATGGGACTCTAGAAATTATGTGCTTAAAATTTCCTGTTTGTATTTGATGTTGGAGAAGCATATGTTTGCCTGGAGTTGAATGGAGAACTATTTGCTATACGGATGGATGGGACTTTACCTTGTTTGAAACAATGGAAAATTAGGGGAAGCTGTCGATGAGGTATAAATTACAATTATCAAGTTTAGTTTGAAATGATTGAACTTTGCAATATAGTCTGTTGTGATATGCTAGGTTTTGTTTGCCTCTGTGAATTTAGCGTATGATGGTGGAAGTGCCCATTGTGGCTCTGCTAGGCTTGTGGTTGTCGTGGCGGTTTTTTGTGGTACTTTCTGACAGTAATATTTTAGTCACAAGACTTGACAATTGGAAGATGGGGAAGCAAAATGTGGAGAAGGAGAAATCTAATGGGGTAACTGAAAGTTTTAACTGAGGTATTGCAATTGGCAGATAAGTAACTTTGGTTCAAACTCAGCTGGACCACTAGTTCTTTCTCTGGTGCATTTTTGCACATTCTGTTAGGAGATGTGAATCAGAAATGAGAGTTGATGTTTGGGATTGTCATGTAAAACTAATGTAATATCCTGACTTCTGGCTGCCCAATTATATGCCTCTGCAGAGAGTCTTTTCCATTCCCAAAAGTCGCTGAGATTCTGCGACTGAAAGTTTCTCCGTGTTAATTCCGAATAAGGATTTTTGGTGGGTGAATTTCGCGTGCGTAAAAGCGTAATATACAAGTAAAATATTAGGATGAAGCCTATTAAACTTTCTTATAAAGAGTTCCCGTAAGGGTAGGATTCCGATACAGAAAAGAATTCTAAGAATATAGAAGGGAAATAAGTGTTTGATATCAATTTGTATCCAATATTATGTACTCTCCGATTTCCTTTTATTTATTATTTCCCTAAATCTATGCTAATATTTAAAGATTAAACAAATTCTGGCCTTATTTACAGCAGTTACGTTGTTTTAGGTTGATCCAATCCACCATAATCTATACTAAATAATCGTTTATTCAATTGATTATGGAACTGCATTAAATAAGTAGTACGCCAATATTTTGCCATTTGAATCAACATTTACTGTCACCGAATCGCCCTGTTTAATGCTTCCATTCAATATCCTCTCTGCCAAATTGTCCTCCAAGAGCCTCCCAATTGCCCTTCTCAAAGGCCTCGCTCCATAGCTGGGATTATAACCTTCTTTCAGAATTTCTTCCTTGAATCTCTCTGTGACTTCAACCTTTATGTTTTTTTCTTTCAGTCTTTCATACACTTGTTTTAACATGATCTCCACGATTTCTTTCAGCTGCGAGTTACTCAATGGCCTGAAAACAATCACTTCATCAATCCTGTTCAAGAACTCTGGCCTGAAATTCTTTTTCAGCTCTTCTGCAACTTTCATCTCCACATGGTCGAACCCCAGGTGACTTTTCTTGAAAATAAAATTACCACCGATATTTGAGGTCATTATTATAATGGTGTTTTTGAAGTCCACGGTCTGCCCTTTGTTATCTGTTAAACGACCACAATCTAAAACCTGAAGCATAATATTCAATACATCACAATGAGCCTTCTCAATCTCATCGAAGAGGATCAAACTGTGAGGCCGGTGGCGTACAGCTTCTGTCAGTTGGCCACCATTTTCAGAGCCAACATAACCCGGAGGCGAACCAAAAAACTTGGAAACAGTATGTCTCTCCATGTACTCGCTCATGTCGATTCTTATCATGGCGTCTTTCGACCCAAAATATTCAATTGCTAAAGCTTTTGCAAGTTCTGTTTTTCCAACCCCAGTAGGACCAGTGAATAAGAAGCTTGATATCGGGCGACTTGGGTCTCTGATTCCCACTCTTGCTCTACGGATGGCACGGCTTACAGCTGCAACAGCTTCAGCCTGACCAATAATGTGCTTCTGCAAAGTCCTTTCCATTTGCAAAAGCTGGTGAGATTCTTCACTGGAAATTTTCTCCATTGGAATTCCGGTCCAGGTAGAGACCATCTCCTTTATATTATCTTCAGTAATCAACATTTTTGTTCCTGGTGATCCCTTTGTTTGATGTATAACCAATTTGGCGCCAGCTTCATCAATCAAGTCTATCGATTTGTCAGGATTAAACCGGTCACTGGATCACATTTAATACACAAGTTATTACAGGATCATTATATACACACACAATTAGAGCAACAAAATTCTAAGGGACCTGACCTGATATACTGATGCGAAAGCTGAGCGGCTGCTGCTAAAGAGTTCGCTGTGTATTTAACATTGTGATGAGATTCATATTTTGAGCACAAACCCAGCAGAATCTCAATTGTCTCCGCCACTGATGGTTCAGGCACTAAAACCTGCTGAAACCGCCTTTTCAAGGCAGCATCCTTCTCAATATACTTCTTGTATTCATCAAATGTTGTGGCGCCAATGCACTACACCAAGCAAATTTCAAATTATAATGATATTTAAAAACGAATTGAGAATCAAATTCAATTAATTCACCCTTAATTCTCCTCTTGCAAGGGCAGGTTTCATTATGTCAGCAGCAGCTACTGCTTGTCCTCCAGAACCAGCACCTATAAGAGTGTGCACCTCGTCAATGAAAAGGATAATGGATCCTTCACTCAGTTTTACTTCATCTATCAATTTAGTCAACCTCTCCTCATATTCTCCCCGATTCGATGCCCCAGCTATAAGCCTCCCCATGTCCAAGGCATATATCTGAAATTATTATTAATTCAGGAATATTCACACAAAAGACTAAAATGTTTTAAACATTAATTATTGTGTAGAATTAACCTTCTTTCTCTGTAGTTTAACTGGAGAAGTATTATTTGTAATCCTCTGTGCTAAGCCTTCAACGATTACAGTTTTTCCAACACCAGGATCGCCAATCAGGCATGGGTTATTCTTCCTTCTTTTACACAGTATTTGGATGACACGTTCTAGTTCCCGTTGCCTTCCGATGAGAGGATCCAACTTGCCCTAAACAAGAAATTATATTTCTATCAGCCAGAGACCAGGAGAGAACACCATTAAATTATTGAAGACTAGGCAATGAAGGATCAATTAATTTACCTCTTTTGCCATTTGGGTCAAGTCTGTAGCATATTTGTTTAGCATTTCCAGCTGAACAGGACCTTGTTTCTCAAGTTTCTCCATTTGACTCACTACCTAGTTATAGTTTTATGGAATTATATTGCTGCAAGAGTATGCATATTTCCTGTTTTATACTGAAATGTATGCATCCAATTTCTCCGGAATATTACAAAATCCAATGCACATTATTAGATGCTTTAATTTAATTAACTCGTTATTATGACTCCCATCCTTCCCTCTCTCTCTCTTGATTATCAAATTGAGGGTACGGCTTCCAAAGAGTCCAAGACCATAATACTTCTCAGATTCATTTACATATTTTTATGCATGTATTTACTGCTATTCATG